TAAAAAAGGACTATGTTTGTCAGGATGGAATATGCTCAAACAGCAGTATCAAATCCAGAACAGTTCTCATGAGCCGCCACTGACTGATGATGGCAACTGGAGTATTTGGGAAGTCACTTCAAGTGCCTTCTCCTGCTTCCACTTAAGGCACTGACAAAACAGGACCAAACTCTTTAAAGATCAGCGGTCTCACCAAAGAGAGACGAGGGGGCAAGAAACCATGTGGCAATGAAATGGGTCCCTGATTCCTCTGTATTCTGGGCAATTGAGGTATCCTTTTCTAGTGAAACATTTTTATCCCCACATTTCATGTATGACATTTTTTCCGTTCTAAGGTGGGACACTTCAGGCTCACAAGAAATTTCAGTACGCTGAACACAGAATGCCTAAAATCCAAGGTATGACCCGGAGTCTTGTCAAGAATCGATAAAATAACTGTTCAGAACCATTAATAAAAGTCTCACTAGTCTGGCATGAGCTCCTTGAACTCAAGATGCTGGAAAAGACTCAATATTGGGGCTAACTAAAAATGGCATTAGAAGGACCATCTATGCAGGGAAATCAAAATGGTCTCTTTCAGAAAAGGTTCACGATAGGACAGATGTGTCAGTCTCAGGACTGCTACAAGGGCTTTGTACTGGGCAAAGAGAGTAATAAGAAACTAAAAAACTTTTGGCATTTCATCTTTATTGAAAAAGGGTACAAAGGAACCACCTCTGGATATTGTAAAACTCACAAATAAATTCTTTACAGCTGCACAAGGAAAGATAACAATGAGAGCCCGGTATTTCATTCCTAGCACAGTAAAAAATTCTATTATAGCCAACGCAGTTATGGGTGCACCAGCTGTATTATGGGAATCCTATATAACTCCTGTCTGTTTCTGAACCAAAACCCCTGAGGCCAGCTTGTGAGATTAAAAAGTCCTCCTCTTTCATATACATGCCCTTCCACATCCCTGTTCGTTTACCAATGTGTGGAATTAAGTAAGTTGTCTTAATCGGATATGATGCCCTTCCAGGCCAGGGAGGAGCATCTTAAGAACTGCCTTCCTATCCCGCACTCTTATGTAATGGCAACAGTTATACAAAAAAATGCACATTTTCCTTCCTTGCTAAAATCTATACCTTGGGATGCACTGATGTGCACGTATCATGCTGCTGAAAGAATGTTTTGGGTATTTGCAGGGTTTTTTTAAGTGTGGAAGAGAATGAAGAGGGGAAAAAAAGGAAAGAAAAATAAAAAGAAACTGAAGAAATGAAAACATCTCTGCTTCTCAAGTCCACTTTTAAATCACCAGGGGGAAAAGGCCATCATAGGTCAGGTAAGCGTCATGAATCTGGGCCATTTTTGATCTTGGGTATGAAAACCAGTAAAATACTTATCTTTTAAATAGCACAATTCCCGTTAAATTCAGATATCCCAGGAAACTACCATGCTAGCCAGACTGCCAGCACTCAGTATGTGGAGAACTTAAGAGGAGAGAACAGATGGGAGAAGCCACTATTTCTAATACAGCCCTAGGGCATCTCTGTTCCCTTATTCGGGACTTCATTTTGTAACCTCCCCTCTTCCAGCTGCTCAGACCACAACATGATGCTCCTCACAGACCCACAGTACCACCCTTCATTGGACAGAAAGACCACATAGGGAAAAAGCGAGTGGCTTCAACCATGAGAACCAGTCTGCCTGCATAAACAAATCTCTCACAGGTCAAAGCAAGAGGTCAGAAAACCTTGTTCAGTTCAGCTCCCACCAGACTTAGACATGGGAAGTGTAACTCAAGAAACCAGCAGAGAAGTCATCAGCAAAGGTTTTTACTCAAATATGTCATCCAGAAACAGAGAAGTGGAAAACCTTTTGGAGCTCTTAGTTCAGTCCAGTCCCATGAATTCTGCAGTCTCCGAACAGGATCTCACATCTCCTTACATGCAAAGAGTTCCTTTGGACTAGAAAGCCGGAAGAGGGTTAATTTAATGTTTGCCTTAGACCTAGCAGTCCCTGGAGACTCTGCACTGAGGTTGTCCTTTCTCATTCATCACAGTGGATTTCCAGCAGTTGGTTTAAATAAGAAAGAACATGTCCTTAATCTAAAAATTTGTCATGTGCTAAACTTCAGCAATTAACTTCAATTTCTTGCTCAACTTGTTTGAAAGGGCCAAAATGGATCTAGGAGTGAACAGCAGTGGAAGGTGTGTTATCCAGAAACCTTCCTAGGCAATACCATTAAACAATGGCATCTTTAAAGACATGCTGGGCAGACAGCACAGGTGTGTACATGTCTACACCATACTAGACACTGTGCTGTTTACTCCTACTAGAGTTCAATCTTTGTGTCTATTCATTTTAAATGAAGGTTTAATATTTTCCTTCTTTTAGAAGCCAGAACTGATTATTTCCATACTTTCCCCTGGCATGGCGATGGCAGAGTATTCCATAAATATTTCAGAAGCCTGCAGATTCATGTAAAATTAGTTTCTTAGTTGAATAATAATTGTGGATATGTCAATGAACTGGATTTTTCTTTCTTGAATATTTGTAACTTTGTGTCATATGACACTCACTGAAGTCAATAAATGGGATTTTGAAAAACTGGGCTCTACTCTTGCTTTGTAGCTCATTTTGGACTTCCACAAAGGCGATTTCAGGATAGGCACCTTAGAGAAGAAAACGATTAATCAGAAGTGTAGAGAAGAAAAAGGAAAGAAGGGAGAAGGAGAGTTTGTTCTTTCCATCAATATTAAACTGTCCATTTCCCAGCTGCAGCCTCATGAAAAGGAGACTTCTTGGTGATTACCTAGTAATTCAAACCTTACAAACTCACCCCAGAACACTCAAAGACAAGGTAAAAAAGGATATATTTTTTTATTGCAGATTCATGAAATTTGATCCACAGCAGAGCCTGATGAATTCACTAAGCTTTTGAACACATATGCAGACTGGTATCAATTTCTTTTTTTTTTTCTTCCTTACCAGATGAACAATATACATGAACAATATCATGTGTGTGTGTGTGTAAACATGAGTAGCTTTTATAAATGCAAATTCCAAAGAATACAAGTAAAATAGTCTGGTTTCTGTGAAGGGCTCTGTCTCACGAAACAATCTGCTGCACAAACCCAGACCAAATCTCTAAAACACTATTCACGTGTTAACATTACACAATGCTTGCATTTTAATTTTTTACCCATTCATAATAGAAACCAAGAGATATTGAATCAAAGATGAATCGAAGTAGCAAATTATCTTCACAATCCCTCAGCAGTATTATACCACAGAAGGTATTTAGACTCAAAGGGCTTCCCTCCCAAACGAGTGCATACTCGGTGCTGTGACACTGCCTATACCCCTGCTTTACCTATGAAGAACCCAGAATTAAAAAGTTGTAATTGGGTCCCTCTGATGTAATAATGCCTGTAACAGTTGTAAAAGGGACTGAATTTGGTGCAGTTCTTAGTATCTCCCCAGTTACTGGTGAAAAAACAAAGGATACTGACAAACTAATTGCTGCAGTATGTATCACTTGAAACCCAGAAAGTGCCATCTACTCTTGGTTCAGTGAAAGCCTGTGTGAGAAACAAGCAGCATTATCTTACTTTTCGTGGCTCCATATCCTATGAAGCACTTTAAATCAATTTTCCTTGTTATTATACTGGAATTTTGGAATGGTTCTGTGAGTTATATTCCTGTAATTTTTTTTTTTCCTTTATGAACCTGTGGTCTCTTGGACATTTAAGAGGAACACAGCATACATAAGTAGAAAGTAATGAATGAGTATTAGTAAGTGTGGTTTCCTTTCTTACTGTCAACACTGCTATTGGCCAGCTGCTAATCAGTCAGATCCTGCATAACTTTGATTTGGTATGTGTTTTTAATCCTCACCACCCTCTCTGTGGGTTCCAGGGCCAAAATGGTGAAATTTTAACAGTTTTCAATATATCTATTTCTAACTGAACATGAAAACTTCAAATAGTTCATAAAAACTGAAGAAGCTCAAATATTGGTGTTGAAAGCAAATGAAATAACACTTAGCTATCAGCCCACTGGAATGTTTCATACTTCTTGAAAACAAGAGCAAGCCCCCAGACAATTTTTATTTTCTACAATTCTTGAGATCCAGAGAAAGTAGCTCCTTTGAATATTAAGCCTACAGCACAGGTTGAAATGATCTCCACCTCCCCTCAGTTATACACATTAAAGGCAGCAGAAAAGTTCCACAAAACTGCTGTACATCTGAAAGTGTTGATAGAGCCTGACTGATACGTTACACCACTGGAATGATACTTAATTCACCAATATGGGCTCAGCAAACATTTGGAGCAAGAGAACCATTTTTACTCACCTTTTGTGTTAAGTATGAACTTCTAATGTAAAGACGTACCCAGAGAATACAACATCAGATGTGTTTGTTTTATAAAACTGTGTAAAGGTTTTCCAGAGCTGTCACAGCGTGATAGCTTTGGACATTTATTTTCCCAGATCTTTACCTTGAGTGCTACTGCTTGCTTTGGGAAACTATTTTTTTTTCCTTTTCCTGAACAGAATTTAATAAATGTAAAAGTCCTGAGAGTAGTTCTGAAGAGGTTATTTACCCCAATCACAGTTAACTCCTGGCTAAAGCGGAAATCTTTTTGCTGCTCTACCTGTGCAACTCAAGCCTTGCAACTCCAGGCCTACAGTCCGCATAGGCAACCTTATCAGTATAGCCTCACGAAATTACTTTTTTTACTTATCCTAAACCCAAAAGAAACAAATGTGCTAAATAAGCCTGTTGAAGTCAACAGCATTCTGCATATGTCAAACCAACTCAGGAATTATCAGCAACTCCATACTGGGTTCATCCTTTTTCTGTAACATATTGCTGAGTGTGGTGACCCTGAAAATAAAAGCAATTTTGATTCTGCTAATGTGATCTGTGTGGGCTGGTTTTGGCTGGGTTTTTTTTTTGGGGGGGAAGGGGTTGGTGGTGTTCTGTTTTGTTTTGGTTTTTTTTTTTTCAGTTTTACATAGCACTATATGCTGAAAGTGCCAAGGAAAATCAATCTCCCCGTGTGGAGTTTTGTGTAGGATCGGGGTCTAATTTGGCCTCACATCCACCTGCATCTCCAGCTTTCAAGCTCTTTTTCTTCAAGTTATTGGCACATACAGCAAAAAGAATCACATTCCTGATGTGACACATCAGTGAACCAGCAATGGTGACTTTCAGCTGTCCTTCAAATGATTAGTAATTGAGGCTTTTTAATTTTTTTTTTCCACAGGCTGGGTTGTCTGGTAACATATAGTTTCACTCAGATAGTTTAAAATGACCAGTTTTAGCCATGCCAACCAAAGAAATGAGGGCAATCCCACATGCTGTGAGTGTTTATGTGATTGTCAGTCATAATTTTAACCCATTACCCAATTATCAAGCAAATTTGACAAAAGGAAGAGTGGCAATTCCAGTTCTGTAAGAGAAAATATGTGGCTGGGGAGAAGAGGGAGACTGTATCTGAGCTTTTCTACATGAAAGGCAACATGAGTTCAACCTTTAGCCAGCACATGAGCTTCTGTGTGTGAGAGCTAGCGAGCAAGATGTTGTGAAAGCCTCTTTGGTGGAAATAATATCAAGCAGATCTGAAACCATATAAGACACCAGAGAATGAAATAGTTAGAGTTAATACAGAGAAAACCAGTACTTATAAACATGTATTTTTCCACTGTATGAACTAAGAAAGACTTAGACTGTGTGTCACTGTGTGCCCTTTACAGATGATTTCTGACACTCTGAATTGCATGTGAACACAAACTGGAAGCCAGAGTACTTAAAAGTGTGAGCAAACATACTGCCAATGAGAGCAATAAGCTAAGGAAATATTCAGTCTTACCAAGTATTATTTCTAAGCTGAATTATCTTCAGCTTCTCCCTGTTTCCTTTGTGGATGAAATAAATGGGTGACAGGAGGCTGCAAAGCATCCTTGCTTCCTCTTCACAGACAGGAAGAAATTGTGGTTGTTGCTGGAAAAAAAAGGAAAGTGCAAGTGGGAACTAGGGCTATAACTTAGGTTTCATGGGAAAAAGACAGCGAGAAAGCAAGGACAGACTGCTACTGCAGGAACTGTAGGAGACTGCAGATTCTTCCAGCTGGTTTCAGAGAACAGCAGTGCCTCTTCCCTATCCTGAAGCTCCCTGCTGCAAGGTGTCCCCAGCTCCCTTCAGTGAGCTGCTCTGCATCTCACAGGACAAGTGTCCTTTAGCAAATGCAGGCAACCAAACACTGCAGAGCAGTGCTGGCTCTCTGTGGTGTCAGAGCCTCCTTCCAGGAAAACTGCAGAAACAAGGTATCACACAGGGAAATAGAGAGCCCTTGCTGGCAGGAAACCTGGGAGACAAACAGGTTATTAATCAGCTTTTGAGCCTCAGAACCACAGAATTCATAGGCTATCTCAAATCAGAAGGGACCTATAAGGATCCTCCCTCCCTGCCATTGAGCTATAATTACTTTCATTTTCTCCCAACTGTCAACTGTAAAATAAAGTATAAATGAAGATTTTGGTTTGCACTTGTGACCCATGTAGAATCTCCAGTAACAATTTAGGACTAACTGCACTCACCTGAGCAATTTTTACTTATTGGTATGGCACAAAAGTTAAACTCTGTAGAATGAAGTGCATAGCTGGAAACTCCACAGAAAGATTTAACATCCTACGGAAGCAAGAAGGACTCTTCAGAAAGGCTTCAAAGCTGCCTTGGTCACGTGTCTGTTCAAAAAGACTAAACAAAAGTGTCTCTTTCCCATGATATCTTGTAAAAAAAAAAAAAAAAAAAATATCCTTACAGCTACACAACGATAACTATATATAACTAGAATTAAAATTAGGGAGTATCATTTAACCGACTTAATTTGCTGAATAGCCCTTTGTTAAGAGCTGTGTGAGGACCTGGCAGTTAAGACTAATTGATGATTCTGAAAATCAACAGGATAGGAAGAACTATATAGTAATTGCATGCATTACTATGAGGAAAGTCATGATCCTGTAACATAAGTTAAATTGCTTAAGTAAGTCTTACACAGCTACACAAGTAATGTTTCACTGCAGATATTCCTAAACGTTAATCCATAACGTAACTAACTGCAGTAAGAGGGAGGGGAAAAAAAGAAAACCCCACCCAGTTTGTAGCTATCCTGTATCTCAGACAGGGTGATATAACATATGTTTTAAAGCGATAAAGACTTCCAAAAATAAGACACAGTTTCCAGAAAAATATTCATGCACTCCCAAACAAAAGCAAAACCCCGTAATAATTGAGTAATTGCAGCTTTTTGCATCCAAGAAGTTAAAAGAAAAAAAAAAATCCAGCCCAAACCAGACCCTTTCAGTGGCTTAGCTGGTCAACACTCTTATACACAAAGCCCAGTGCTCTTCCCTAAAACCTAAGAATTAATGAGCATTATGTAAGAGATTTTTATAACACTCTAAAAATACATTGTGAATTCCTTTCCAGTGTCAGACTGTGAAGCTTTAAAGTACTGCCACCCCTCATCCCCTTTTTGAACAAAGACTGGATCTTCATTTCTGATATTAGAAACTTAAATTTGTCTCAGTATTTATGCCTCAAATCTCACTAATTACAGTGTTGGCCTCGTGAGATACAACTGCTGCTGCTACCAGCAGTGTTTGTGCTCAAAATGACTGGCACAAGGGCAAAGATACACAGACATTCATACATGTATGAACACTTGAAGAAAGAATGAAGGAGAGATAAAACTTCGTATTTGGATGATTTCAATGATTTACCTGCTTACAAAGCAAACTTCTGTACCCATGTGATAATGTTTTGTTTGCGTGGTGCTGATAGATAATACACCAAGATAGCCTTCCTGCAAAGGCAGCTGTAATATTAGCCTGGCAGATCTACAGCACGGTCCTACAAGCACCTTATTCCTTTTGTGCTCTATTTTTCATATGCATAATAAATAAGTACCAGCATTTTCCACCAAAGGATCTCTACGCAAAAATTACAAAATCACCACCTGAATGTTAATGGTAGCTCAGGAACCATACCTGTAAAGAGAAAAGGTTTTAACACTGTTATTGGGAACAGAACCACCTTGCCCATGCCTGAGTACCCATCCCTACGCTCCAAAAGTTCATTCCACTCTGCTCCAAATCACCATTCGATCTATGAACATGAAAGGCACTTGCAGTCCTTCAGACCAAAATAAATCACAAGAATGCAAATAAATCACATGAAAAATGGGAACAAAGGATTTTCAGCTGTGGAAGACTTGCCGTGGAATGCATATCCAGAGAACATCACAGCAATCCCATCAGCACATTTTTAGGAAACACCTCAACGGTGTCCTTCTTCAGAACTTTTCCCCATACAAGGCCAGCACAACACTGATGGGCCATCTTCCCAAAATAACCCCTCACTCTTCAAACGTCAAAACAAATCGACCAAAACTATTGTGGTAAACAGAAGGGGGGGGGGGGGAAGACAGAAGATGCAAAAAAGACTGCCTTGCCCAGGAGCGATTTTGCCATTGTTACCATTTTCATGTAAAAACCTTGCTGATACCATGGCTGATGGGCGGGAAAACAGAACAGGGAGTTGTAAACGTCTCTGATGGGATGATAACTGCTCTTCCAAGCAAATAGATGAAAACTGTATTATGGATTAAGATGATCCTGTGCCAAAGTGTCAACTACCTTTGTGTTTGCCGAGGATATCCACTCTTCTTCCCTCAGTAACTTTTTTTTCTTTCTGTATTTTACGTACAATCCAAGTCCTTCTTTGTTCTCTGCCCTGATTCTTTCTCTGTACCATTTTCTGCCACACCTATTCACACCGCATAAAATAAGTCAGCTAACCTCCACCTTAACTCGGTGGCACAAGACATGTAAGCCCTAGGAATGAGGACAAAATGCCTCCTTTTGGGTCATGCCTCATTAACGTGCCCTTCTCCGATTCGCTCCCTAGTCTTTCCCCCCACTTTTATCACTCAAATTTACCCTGCGTTGTTCTTGTAGTTTGTTTCCTTTTCTTTTTTGTTTGCATCCACAGTAATTTTCATCTCCTCTGTCAACTTCTACCCTTCCATTCCATCCTTCTCTGCTGCCATTTTCCACGTATGTCCTCCCACCACAAGCCACCTTGCTTGTCATTCTTCCTCTGGTTCCCCTGACGTAGCTTGGAAGCAGGAGCCTCGGTCACCACGGGGTGACTCAAAAGCCAGACCACTCCAACCATGCTCTCTCACTCACCTGTTAATACAACAATAAAAATACAGTGGGGCAAAAGCCCCGGACAAACAACCAACTTTGGCACAAAATGGCTTTTGTTGCGGTATGCTTTCATCTGATTTACTTCTGCACACATACGAACAACCAGCTACTAGCACCTCAGACCCTTCAGCCTCACTCCTTCCTGTTGTCTCTGCTACTCTATCCCTAATTTGTTCCAGTTGCTCATTAATACCCTTTTAATCCTCCCACAATTCCACCTCACCAACCATTCTCTTCATGCTAGCAGCTCAAAATCCAGAGAATATATGTGGGGTTCTCCCCCTCCTCCCCCCCGCAGCTCCAACAATGATAAACAGATGCTGGTGGTCTATGCATTGTACAGCTCCCCTCCTCAGAATTGTGCGTGACCTTTGCCTGGCAGCACAATGAGGAGATGGGGTACAACCTGGCTTGACCTAAAGAAGTGCTCCGAGATCTTGCCATTAAACACTCAAAGCGCCCTCGGGTTACACACGTGAGTAGGTTTACGAGATTAAGTCACGGGTTTGTAAAGAGAACCAGGTATCAACATCTGCAGAATTTGGAATCATACTTTGGGAAGTCAAATGCAGGGACAAGGCACCTCTAATAAAAACGATGGCCACGCATGGTCCCTGTGCTGCTCTCTTCCTATCATCTCTCCGGAACACCCGATTATTGGCAATGTACCCTTAAAACAACAATAATAATAAAAATCAATTTCCTTGAATTTTCTTTAGATAAATTCTCTTCTCTTTTAACCGTGTCTAAAACCCACAGTTTCGGCTTATGAAACGTTTCCCCCCAGCCTCCCAGGTCCGCAGGCCACAGGAGGCCTAGACTCAGCCGGCCAGTGGTACACGTCCTGGCGGGGAGCAGCCCTCTGGCCCTGGGGAGGGAGGGGTCTGCCGCCCCTGGCCTTCCCCTGCCCCACCGGGAAGGGCTTGATCCCAGGCTCTGACAGAAAGGGGGGCGCCGGGTAACCCCTGAGCGGCCGACGTGCGCCAGCAGCTGAGGAGGGGTCCGCAGGAGCGGGGGAGTTACGGGCGCTGAGGGGGGCTGCGGGGCTAGCATTGCACGCGCTGCGGGGAGATGAGAGCGGGCTGCGGTTACCGCTGGAATCCGGTCCGCAGTTTGGCGCTCGCCGACGCGCTCTCCCTCAGCCGGCAGCGGCGGCGGGCGGGGTGTCGCATGCCGGGAACAGCCGGTTGTTTAAAACCCTTCTAGAACCGTTTCTAATTCCCCCTTGCGCGGGGACGGGAGAGCGCGGGGGGGGGGAGAGAGGAGGAGCCGAGTGTGGGGAGGTGGGGGTGGTAAGGAGCCAGCCGCCCGTCCGGGTTCCGACTGTCAATCACCGCGTGGGGGGCGTGCCCGACCGGCAGGCTGGCCAATGGGGTGTGTGTGTGGCGGCGTCTCCATGGTGACGGGGCTGTTCCCAGGGAGGCTGTGATGGGTTGACAGGTGCGTGACAGTCGGAGCTCTCCGCAGGCATGTACGGCAAAGGCAAGAGCAACAGCAGCGTCCCGTCCGACAGCCAGGCCCGGGAGAAGTGAGTACCGCCCCAAGGGACGCAGCAAATAACTTTCCCGCCGCCGGGCGGTGCGGAGCGGGAGGACGCAGCGGGCGGACCCCCCTTCCCCCCCCCCAGTCCTTCCGCCGCTGATCCCCCCGTGTCCATGCTCCGCACGGTCCCCTCCCCGGGGCAACGTATGTGACAAAGAGCCGGGGACGGGGGTACGGGGAGTGGTGAGGGCCGGGGGTGTCGTCCCGCAGCTTACCAACTCCTCCGCCCCGCAACTTTTCCGCGCAGCCCCGCGGCGCATTGTTCTGCGGGCCCACGGCGGCAGCGGGGCACACACAGACACGGGGATACGCCGCGCTCCGGCGCCCGCCCCGCCGAACAAAGGTGCTGGGCATCCCCCGGTGTGGTGCTGGGGTCGGGTTTTGGGGTACCGGTGCGCGGCGGGGCTCCACTCACAGCCCTCTCCCACCCCTGCTGACCCCGGCTGATACAGAAGCAGCCGCGAAAGTACTTTATTATTTTATTTAATGTTGTAACATTCTCGGTGGGTAAAATCCCCCGTGCGAACCGCGAAAGGGCTCCGTCGGATTTCTCCCCCGTGGGAGCTGCCCGGCAGGGTGCCGGGGGTGCCCTGCGTATGAAGCGGGCGCGAAAGAATTGGTCAGGAAAGCGAGTTTTTTAGAAGCGGACGGCGGTCTCGTCAAGTTGTGCTGTAGCGGCGGCTTCTCGGCGTTGCGCAGCCGGGGAGGAGGGGGAAGAAGAGACCGTTGTGAAGCGGGGAGAACGTGTACCGAGCGGGGTTCAGCTGAGGGAAGGTCGGAGTGAGGCTGCGGAGGGTCCGGAGCTGGAGGGCGCCGGCCACATGCAGTCGCCGGGGCGCACACCGCATCGGTCCGGAGCGGCTGTAACCTCCGGGCGCAGTGCTCCGGAGGAGTTTCCCCATCGGGCAATTTGTCTTCAACCTTCACCTAGAAGAGAAGTTTTTGTTTGTTTGTTTTTCCTTTTTCTGTCCTTTTTTTTTTTTTTTTTTTTTTTCCCCTGCAGTATTTTAGACACTTCTTAATTCTAGAGACTGGCATGCATGCTTCCTGGAACAGCAGCAGGCTAGGCATCTCTGTTGCTACAGGATAGGGGGATGCTGGAGGAGGTTTTAAAGTGATGTTATGTTAGGGAATTCCACGCCTAACTTTGCCACGGGAAGGTGGAGAAAGAGAGAGGCAGTGCCGACATGCAATGTTAATGGCTAGGGTGGAGTGGGAGACACAACTTGGGCACTGAAACGTAATCAACTAGTGGCACTTATTAATCCCCGTGGGCGAATAATTCTAGAAATCATTGCTGAAGTGGTTTAGTGGAAGTGTTGTTTATTTGGTTTGGCGAAATTACGGATTGAAGCCATATTCTTGTGCTGCATAATTGCCGCATAGTTGCATGTGTTTGTCAGTACACTTGGTAAGTAACTTGAAGGGCAGAATGGGCTCGCACTGTGGGACTAGATAAAAAGAATCCGTAAGGCCGCCGTGTGTTGGATCAGGTGAAGACCAAGTTATTTTGATTTTGCTTGGCAGAAACTTCCCAGCATGGGCCACACACACTGTGCTGCGGTCCTAGAGCTGAAACTTTAAACTGGCTTTAGTCTTCGTTGTAGCTGATTTTTCTTCTGGGTCCTTGGTGCCATAAGGCATGTCATACTTCATGTGGAATGAAAATGCTTAATAATTTTCAGGGCAAGCCTGCCAAACTGACCTACTGCAAAGCAGCAGCTGCCCTCCTGAGTAAAGTTACGGGGGCCTGCTAGATGGTGCTGTTCGATTTAAATATACTTTGTCTCCCACTCCTTGTAACGGCTGGAAATGTGAATTCCTCGAGTATAGGTTATTCTGTGCAAAATACTAGTTTGTTCTTAAATCACAGACTTGACACATCTTGTAGCATCTACTGATGGATAAACATAACCAGGAATTTAGAAACACCCTCTTCCTCTCACATCTCCCCCCTCCCCCAGCTGTCCTTTCACTTAATGAAAAATAGAAAAGCCTAAAGACTTGGTTTATGTTGTGGAATGCCATTATAAACTACATTCCAGATTCTTTTTTCTTATTCAATCTTTTAAAGTTTTCGTAGTAAATGGGATCACATCATTGCCATTTTCCTACGCTTTCTTTCTGACATCCAAAAAGCTGTGATTACATTTTCCTTTCTCTCTCTGATGACATTGTTTTACAGCTGTGCAATGCTTCTCCCAAGGTGATGCACAAGTTCTTGTTCTGCTGAGAAAAGTTGGCATTGAATTAAATATGTCTACAGAAATACATCTCTAAGTTCTGCGTGAGGTGGTATTAAATTGAAAACTGGGGGGGAAATATATATGTTTGATTGATACATTAAGTACTTAATCAAGGAGAGTGGAGTTATAATTATACTTAATTTGGAAATTTTAAAGCAGAAGATGTAACTTTGTTGTGACTCATGGTTTTAAATATCTAAAATCTGTCACCAGCAACTGATATCTGAAATACATTTGTAATAATTAAGGAAATAAAGTAACACCCCCCTGCCTAATTAATGAAATAAAATAAAAATCCACTACTTTGTGTTTGGACAGCATAAGTACATGGAACATGCTTCTTTCCCATGGGGATGCATGCCAGTGACAAGACTAGGGTGTGAAAAGAGT